TTCTCTGTCTCCCTCTCTCTCTCTGTCTCTTTCTCTGTATCTCTCTCTCTGTCTGTCTGTCTGTCTCTCTGTCTCTGTCTCTCTCTCTTATAGTTTATATAATTAATTTGGTCTTTTGGCCATCCCTAAGAAAAATAATTCCTGTATCTTGTTGCAGTGTAGCCTTTTGGAAGGAAAATAATAATTCTGCTGGATGAGACCAAGGTTGGTATAAATATCCTAATAATAAATATATTTTAATATGTAAAATATATGTAAAATATATTTTATAAATGTCAAATATATATTTAATTAATTTTATAATTATTATTTAAATATATTTAATTATTAGGAAAATGCATTGCCCCAGTAAATGGGAGTTTGTAAAAGTCAAAACCATCCTTGTGGCTCTTGTTAATTTATTATAGCATGACTCTTAAGCTCTTGGGGTTAGTTCTACCACAAGAAATCAGATTCATCCTTAAAGTGGCACAAAATTCTTTAGTTAACTTTAATGGATTAATTTCATATTTTTTTCTGATGAGGTATATTCCCCCTGGTCTGTTAACATAATACTGTTAATAATACTGTTAAAATAACGGGAACAGACATAAATCAAATGTTTTGAATGTGGGAGATTTCTTTTTCCAGCTTATATTTTTCCTGGAAGAAAATCAACTGAATTCAATGGGATTTACCTCTGATTTGATATATTTGTATGTGGTCTTATAGGGAAACTGCTGTAGTTTCTACCTGAGAATTAGTTCAACTTAAATAGTGCATCTCTTTCTTTCTGTATCCTAGAAAATGTGCTAAATTGAAAAGTACGGTATTTTGATTATGTCCTTGGCAAGATCAGGATAGATGGAGACTGTGCTTTTAATTCTGTAATGACTTTATTGTGTAATTGATTTTATTTCTAATAATTTAACATGACCATTTTTACCGCTATCGTTTTTTATGAAGTGCATACTGCCGTTTTCTACTGCCATTTCATCATAGCTTATATAGTTTTAATATCAGTACCAATTATATTTTACCTGGAGATTTTTGCAATACAATGTTTGTATAGTCTTTGGCTAATATTTCTGATGTTTTGCTATTTTTTCCATAGGTTTTTATAATGTATATTAACATTATCTCACATTATTTTAAACTGTACTATACTAAACTGTTGTCTTAACAATTTATATTTGTGATGTTATTTTATAGTTGGGGCAGTAATCTTAAAAGCTCATTTTTTATTGCACCTTAGTTAGGCTGTTTGTGTAGAGATGGTGCTAAATTGCCATCCTATAATAGTATTTTATGCAGATCAATGACCTAGATAAAGCTTGATTGCTTATAGATGGCAGCCCATTGCCACTATCCCTTTATTTAATGGATTAGAAAACATGATATGCATTTCAAAGCTGTATGGAAACAAGGGGTTCAAACTGAGTTTAGAGTAATGATGTCTTATTTTTCACTTGTAAAAATAAAGAGAAAAGTGGAGAAAGCTTTGTGATGAATATAGTTCAACTAGACTAGGAAAATGATCTTGAAAATTTAATCATTTTGGTGTTAATTAAGGGCATGCTTGAATTATTTTGAACTGGGTGTTTTGGAATGGAACTCTTCAGCTTCTGATCTGAAAAAAAACATTTCTGCTTTTCAGAAACAGATATACAGAAAGAATATGAGCCATATATAACTTTTCTATTCCCAGGACTAACAGAACCAAATATACTTGTAAATATTCTGTGGGTTTGTTCTTATTTTATACATCTCTTTATCCAAGGTATCAAATTCTAAATCACAAGAGTCTCGTAAAAAATACTCTTGTAAAAATAATCTGTCCTATGTTATGGAATAAATTCTTATTCTAATTCTAAACTCTAATTCTTTGCAGTATTTTAAATCACATGGTTATCTTGCCAGAGAGGTTCAGTTATTGGGTAGGTGACTTATAATAAGAAGGCTCTGCATAGTCACTGCCAGGAGCTTTTTGCCTTGCTCAGGAACACAGTATGTGTGCATGAGGACCTCTATGAGGATAAATGTTCTATCTTGTTCAGGACCCTCTTGTGTGGTTTAAAATTTGGGGATGAAGGATTATCTTGTGATAATACATTTCTGGGCCCAGGAACTGCTCAACCAGGACTAAATTCAAGTTGCGGCCTTAGCTAAGTAAGAGAGACGGTATAATGGTTAAAATACTGGCTTGAATTGTTGTTGTTAGTTGCAAAGTCATGTCTGACCCATCCTGACCTCATGGACAATGTTCCTCCAGGGCTTCCTGTCCTCTACCATCCCCCGGAGTCCATTTAAGCTCATGCTGACTGCTTCAGTGACTTCATCCAGCCACCTCATCCTCTGTCCTCCCTTTCTTCTTTTGCCCTCTATCTTTCCCAGCGAGTCCTTCCTTCTCAATAGGTGGCTAAGTATTTGAGTTTCATCTTCAGGATCTGGCCTTCTAAAGAGCAGTCAGGGTTGATCTCCTCTAGGACTGACTGGTTGGATTGCCTTGCAGTCCAAGGGACTCGCAGGAGTCTTCTCCAGCATAGCAGAGAGCTCTGACAAAATGTGATCCACTGGAGAAGGAAATGGCGACCCTCTCCAGTAACCTTGCCATGAAAATCCCATGGACAGTACTGGCTTGAATGGGATGGGTCGAATCATGAATGTCTACCTAATTCCTGGCTTGTTAAGTGGTGGATAAAATCAAAGTGGGCAGCCTTGCAGGAAAAAAATTATAAACACATATATGTTATTTCTCTTCCTAACAGGTGGGAACAATTCTAAGAAGGTCATGGAAGAAAATTCCTCAACCTTTAAGACTGTCCTTTCCTTTGGACGTTTCAAAGTTCAAAAATTTCAAAATGGCCTTCCCCCGGAGCAAGCCAACCACACTCCTAAACCGGATCTTCCTTCTTCCACGCAAGCAGAAGGAAACGGATCTTTTTCAGCTCCCCCTGATTATGAGACTTCGATTGATGCTAGTCCCCGATATGAGTTTTATGCGCTCTCTGCACCCCCTGGGAGGCGGAAGATCCGGCCCTCATTGGACATGTTGAGGAACGCAGAACCGGTAAGAATGTAGAGCCAGTAAGAATAAAATGAAATTCAGTGGTGAAAAGAGTAAGGTTTTACATTTAGGCAAGAAAAATGAAATGCACAGGCACAGTATAAGTGGTACCTTGCTCAATAGTAGTAACTGTGAGAGGGATCTTGGAGTCCTAGTGGACAACCGTTTAAATATGAGCCAGCAGTGTGCAGCAGCCGCCAAAAAAGCCAATACAGTTCTAGGCTACATAAACAGAGGGATAGAATCAAGATCACAGGAAGTGTTAATACCACTTTATAATGCCTTGGTAAGGCCACACTTGGAATACTGCATTCAGTTTTGATCATCACGATGTAGAAAAGATGTGGAGACTCTAGAAAGAGTGCAGAGAAGAGCAACAAAGATGATTAGGGGTCTGGAGGCTAAAACATATGAAGAACGGTTGCAGGAACTGGATATGTCTAGTTTAGTGAAAAGAAGGACTAAGGTAGACATGATAGCAGTGTTCCAATATCTCAAGGGTTGCCACAAAAAAGAGGGAGTAAAACTATTCTCCAATAGGGAGAATAGCTTGACTCCCTCTTCTTTGTGGCAGCGCCTGAGATATTGGAACACTGCTATCATGTCACTCCTTAGCCTTTCTTTTCTATACAGTATAGTAACCGAATTATTTTGTTCTGCATGTTTAAAATAAATCACAATTTAACACAGTGTGTGGGAAAAGCACCAGTCTTTTTTTCACAAAGTCACATTTTGGGGAAAGGATGGAGCCAAAATCCAGCAGATTTGGAGAGCACCAGAAAGGAGATCAGCTACAAAAATGTTAAGGCGCAGAACTATAGGTGATTCACATTGGAACTAATTTCAACTTCTCTCTCTCTCTCTCTCTCTCTCTCTCTCTCTCTCTCTCTCTCTCTCTCTCTCTCTCTC